TGCCCACGCACACAAGGCTGAAATTACGATTTATAGATTTTTATTTTTATTTGGATGCTTGAGCCAAGTACAGAGGAAAACAGAGAAGCCAACAAGGGACAACAAACAATACACACTTGGGCACGCTTAAAAACAAGTGCCACTCCTTAGTAAAAGCAAGAAAAAAAACACGATTAGACACCATTTTTCACGCTCAAAATTCTGCAATTTCCATCAGTAAGAAGAGCTTCTGAACGACCCCAAAGCCTTCACCGCGCCTGCCCTGAGTACGTACTGGTGGTAGATCGCGGCTATGGCGCCTCCAACCAGCGGGCCCACCCAGAATATCCACTGCACCAAAAAACAACAAAAGCTAGCAAAATTAATGGACGACGGTAAGATGTTTGTTGAAATGCCCGTGTGGAGAAAGAAGTAAGCAAACTTACCTGATCGTCCCATGCCTCGTCCTTTCCGAAAATCACGGCGGCCCCGAAGCTCCTTGCCGGGTTGATGCCGGTGCCGGTGATCGGGATCGTGGCCAAGTGGACCATGAACACGGCAAATCCGATCGGCAGAGGTGCCAGAACCTGCAGCCCCCCCGGTTAAAGTTGATTACATAAATGCATACTTTATACGCATAAATGTCATACTTCTATTTATTTTGTTCTTTTGATATATATATATATATTATATCACTTATGTATGAAAGTACGTATAATCATCTAATGATTAGCGTCAATAGAGTTGTTAAACAAAATGAACCGAGCTTGAGCTCATTTGAAACCCGTTTGGTTAACGAGTCGGGCTCGTCTTGGCTCGTTAAAGCTTGTGTCTTGGCTCGTTAAAACTTGTTAAGGCTCGAAAATAAGAATTTTTATACAATTTTCTATAATTCCACTTATTAAGCTTGAGACTCGAGCTCGACTGGTTAATATTGATAAGAGCTTTGCTCCGCTCGTTTACAACTCTAGGCATGACTAACAAACTATACGATTATTCTATATATTCTTGTCTTTTCAATGATACTTACAGGAACGTGGGAGTCCCTGGCGTTACGTTTGGGGTCGGTGGCGGAGAAGACGGTGTAGACGAGGACGAAGGTGCCGATGATCTCTGCCGCCAGGCCGGTACCGGTACTGTAGCCAACCGCCAGTGAATTGGCTCCACCGCCGTATTTAGTATAGTACGACTTTTGGAAGGCCTTCACGAGCCCGCACCCGCATATGGCCCCCAAGCACTGTGCTACAATGTACAACACGGCCCGAACGAGCGACACCTTCCGGGCCAAGAACAACCCGAACGTCACCGCCGGGTTGATGTGTCCACCTGAAAACACGTTCCAGTCAGTTATTCAACGAGTGCATAACAGACTTATGATTGGAGCTGTTAAGCGAAACGAGCTGTCGCTCGTGAGCTCATCTCGACACATCTCGATAAGACTAAAAAGATAATTTGTTAAAGCTCGAGTTTGGCTCGTTAAGAATCAAACTCGACTTGTTAACATTTATAAACGAGCAGAGCTCGCGCTTGAGCGCGATTAATGTCTTGTTTACTAGACGAGCCAAGCAAGCTCAGCTCGTTAAGGGCTGGAGCTCGAGCTCGAGTGCCATAAGCTCAAGTTCGACTATGCTTGTTTACAACCCTACTTATAATGGACAAGACACGTGGTTGCTAACTAAAGCTCACCGGAAATGCCAGCAGTGCAATAAACGAGGACGAAGATCATGCCGCCAAAGGCCCAAGTGTTGGGAAATAAGGTCGGATAAGATAAAATAATAACAACACACCAATGTGAAAACAATAAAAGACACGAATATTTGTTAACCCAGTTCGGATTAAATCCTACGTCTGGGGGCGAACCAAGCCAGGAGAATGAACTAAAATAAGAGGATAAACCGAATGTTACAACTCACACAAGCCCGTATGAATACACTCTCTCTACTCTTTTTTTTTTCTCTCTCTTTGTTGTTATGTTTCTTGGTTGTGTTTGTTTCTCTGAATTGCTTAGCTATTTATAGAAGAAAGAATGCACCAAATTTCCACAAAGATGTGCTGTATTTTTCTTCTTTGTGATGCTATCAAAAGAAATGGGTTGTTGCCTTCTTTTGACTCAAAATTGGTAGGTGGCAACTAACAATCTCCCACTTGAGGACTGATTTTAATCTGTCCTCACACCTCATTGATCAACATGTTCATCTCTGCTCTTGGTTCTGTCAAGCCTGACTGTTTTAATTATCAAGGCCGGTCGAAGCTACACACAGCTTCAACTTTTCCAAAGTCACCGTCTTGGTCAACATGTCTGCAGGATTCCTATCTCCTCGAACCTTTTTCAGCTGCAACATCTTCTTCTCTAGAAGTTGCCGGATGAAATGATACTTAACTTCGATGTGCTTCGTTCGCGAGTGAAACGCGGGGTTCTTTGCCAGA